TACAGGTGGCAATCTTTCACATTACTTTGGAGTTGGTAGATGGACTATCGTTTAGGCAAGGATGTCAAAGATAGTCAAAAACCCCAATTTAAAAATGAAGTTAAAGTTTCCAAGAATTTGACACAATTCAATTTTGAGGAGCATGCAACTTTATCATATCTTATTTAATTGTTTCAGCAATGATAACAGCTTAATATCATGATTTATAGTCAAAATATTGATCACATAAAGTAAATTGAGCTTTCAATCAGAAGCTTTCACAGAAATTCTTCAAAGCAACATAAAGAGGCTCCAAATACTTCACTTACCTACTTATTCCTATCAAAATACTCAATTATTCATCAAAGTGAATCTCAGTACCGAAAAATCATGAATAAACAAAAGACGAAAAGCTTTAGCTAACATCAAAATGCAACCTTGAAATTCTGCAGCAACAATAAAAGATTTTATCAAAAGAATTTTCTACTTTGTTATTTTATCGTAGCAAATTTCATTGTTCAATGAACTAATTTCCAATTTTCATTTCGCTAATCAAAAACAAAAAGAAAGAAAAAAACTTTCCTTTTTCTTTTTAAAAGTTCCAAACTTGCTCTTCCAATAAAATAAAATTATTTTTCCATTCAAACAATTTGAAAATTTTTGCATTTTACGATAAATGAGAGAGAAAAAATTTCATTCTTGCTACATTTTATCTTAAAATATCTGCGAATTTTTCTTCCCCCCAAAAAAACTTTTCGTTTTTTTATAAATCAACAATCAGCATGAATGTATGTGGGAAGTGTAAAGTGCTCTAAGAAGAATTTTTTTTCTTTTGCAACATAAAATATGAACATCAATAATGCGAATGAGCGAGTATAAAAAAACTTCAATAAATTTTAGTTTTACAATCATCGCAAATTCTCATTCAATAAAAATATTTTACTTCGACTATATGAACGCAGGGTTGTTATTGAGGCTGTTAAGTTTTGATGTGTGTCATAAAAAAGTTGCAAATTTATTTTATTTTGCTAATCTAGGCATATTTGCTCCAATTTCATAATTTTATGTTTTCTTATATTTTAAAATAGGAAGACTGGTGATGTCAATTTCAACATTTGAGACTTAATTTTGGTCTCTATTGTTAATTCTAGTTGCTTCCCGGTCTTGTTCTCTAGAATCACAAATCATTTTACTCTACTTGACTGTAACTAGGGCACCCCAGGTAGCCCTTGAGCCTACAAAACTTATTCAATATTATTATTATTTTTTTATTTATTATTATTTATTTGTCGACATTACCGTCCGGAAGAATTAGTACTTATACATGTTTTACTTTTTTACATTGATTAGTGATACATTCATATCACTATGGGTGACGCAGAATCAAGCTTCTAATATTCAAATCTAGGTTTCGATTAAATTCAGGCTCTCGTTTCAATCTTCTGTGGGCGTGACGTGATACATTTCAGGTCCGTTCTGACAATATTCTATTATAAGGTAATCTTGTAGCTCTCGTTCCTTTTTCTCCCGCTACACTTCAAGTTCCTGATCCGTTCCTTAATCCAACGTTGACCAAAATGCCCAATTATGGCTTGATCTCGTACATTAAGCAGTCGAAGTATCTAAACTTCTGAAAAAGAACAAATTTGGAAATGACTGGATTCGAACCGACGACCTTCGAGTTACCATCCCAAATTTGAGCCAAGCGCCTTACCTATTCGACCAGCAAGGCACTCAACTGTTTTTTTCATATTGATTTAAGGGGCCTTTCACTTATTAAGTTATGCTCTAAGGACGTGAGGGGGATCTGAGGTTTTGTAGCAGTTCAAGAACAAAATTCGTTTGGAAATTTGTGAAAAGGCGAAAATGTGAGTCTAAAAATCTAGATGTTTATGTTACGTAATAATTGAACGGCCCTAAATCGATGTGTTCAAAAAAAGAAGAATTAGAGATGAAACTTCCCTTTCTCAAGTGCTTAATGTCAACCTTTTCCTAAAAAGCTATTAACTGATTTGACCAAGAAAGTAAAAAAGCCCCAAAACCTGTTGACATACTTTATTGATGTCCTAAAATTCACAATTGTTTAGCAAAAGAAACCCCAAGCAAAATAAGAGCACGTTCAGTAGTAACGAAAAAGCCCTCTTTATATTCTAGCAATCCAACAAAATCAACCCTGCAATTACCCAACCAAGTAATAAAAAAAAATCATTAAAAGAAACCTTTAACACCAAAATAGATATTGAACACGTAAAATAATTTTTATTTCCCTTCCAAAAGCAATTTTCACATCACTGCCACGAAGTAAATTTTATTGCACAAAAAAGAGAGCTTTTGAAAATTGGAATTACATTAAAATCGATTTAATAATGTAGAAATATGAAGATAACAAGTGAAACTTTAATTCCTGATTGCTTTCTGATAGTAATCTGATGGGAATGAATAGTGTGAGGGTGAAAATAAACCGTTTTTATGATCATCAGGAATTTAATTCTCTTTTTTTTGTTATAGAAACCAATTTTAGTCTGTTCTGGTTGAGTTTTATGTAATTTTGGATAGCAATAAATATCATAAATTTGAACATAATATGATAACAATGGCGGAAAAGAGCACTTAGGTCAGATGAATTTTGATTCAAAAATGATAAATATTATCTATAAATTCACGGACTAACCTGGCCAGTAGCTTCTATAATGTTGTTAATATGATCAGAGATATGTGAATGCGAATTATTATGATTGTGAAATAGCGTGTCAAAAACATAAAAATTTCCCCCACTCACACAGACCTTATTATTGTTATTATTATGATATTAAATTTTTATTTTTTTTTATTTCCACTGTTGGCAGTGAATTTTATTGCATGCACAATTCATGAGAAAAATACGTTTCAAAATGAAAAATTGCAGAGCAAAAAGAAAAAGTTTTTTTATTCTAAAATTCAATTAGAGCTGGCACATGCCCTACTCGTGCTAATATCTTCAAACACCTGGCAGTGACAGTTTGAAACCTCTATCAAAAAATTATTTTTTTTATTGCATTGAAATGCATCTCAGACATGACAAACCAATTATTTTTACCTCTATCACACAACCACCCTTTAACGGGGTCTTTTGTAAAAATGGTTGGGTGAGTTTTAAGGCATTTTGTCCTGGATTTGTTATAAAACTTATAAATTATGACTCAAATGACATCCTTACTTGCACAGCTTACCTCGTCGTCTCCACACACTTGGCAAGATTCCTTATAAATGATCTACCTCTCATGACGATTCTTTCAGTCTCCCATTCCATCACATGTTTAAGCATAATGGAAATGCATTTTTTTCTGTACATCCAAAATAAACTTTTCCTTTATTGAAATGAAGAATTTTTCTGCTATTTAAGTTTTATTCTTTCCTTTATTTGATGCTTCTTCTCTCCAACTTGGCTATAGAACCATTGCAACATCATGAAAATATAAGCAAATATAGTGCAATCAAAAAGATGTAATCACCTTAGCTGAGATGATGAGAAATATTTTATTACACATTTTCTTTTAAAGACTTTACAACTATCACGATTCGCTGTTGATTTTCTTCTTGGTATTTCTTTTAGTAGATTTAATATTTGCTTGGAGACGTTGAGCTTGTCTTATCATAAAATGTAAGCAGCAAAATTGAACGGTTGTAAGGTTTGTTTGATGGGAAAACTATATGAGAGTATGTGTTACAGTGGTTGAGGAATTTGTGAAATATTAACTAGAAATGTTGATATTAAGATGGTTTCCTAGGGAGATTCCGATCAGCACACATTAAAATGTTTGGAAGCAACTTTCAATTGGATGCAAAGTGGTTGCGCCATTGCTAATCGACTGCCGCTTGGTTTTAATTATACTATCAACCCTTCTACCGGTTGGCAAACATTTCAATGAATTTCAATGTGTGTCGATCGGGGATGTGGCAAAGTTGTCTGAAGAAACTTCAAGAAATTTTAAAAATTTTTATTTTAGAAAATTCACTTTTTGCCAATTATTAGCTGCGTTTTGAGCCTCTTAAGAACCTAGTTATATCTTCCTAGCTTTGCCAATTAGTCCCAGTTTCAAGCGCTAGTTGAAATGCCTTACATTAAAAATTAAGATTCAGTAAAGTCAGAAAATTAGTTTGTGTTTAGTGTAGAGTACTAGTAGCTAGTAGCCCTGGTAGCCACTAGTAGCCCTCAAACTTGTCACAAATTTCCTAATAAATTCTTCTGAAATGATTTTACATCTCCAAGTTACAATCTAATCACATTTAAAGGGTGTATGATGAATAATATCCGGAGTATGTGTTGTTTTCGCACTTCACTCTCAACGATTAATCTTAATTGCCATTAAGTAGCAGAACCACCACTATACTAAGTCATGACTTTGAAAATTCATTTAAATCTAAAGTTTATCTGGCCATTGCATTAAGAAATCCAATTAAAAAACAATAGAATATTGAGGTTTTTTAATTTTATATGAGAAGCATATAGAAGCTTTTGAACTTCCAGTCCTGATCTATATGTATCAAATTTTTAAAAATATCACTACCAAAAAAACTTAAATACTTTCAAGCAAAAAGGTAAGCAACTATTAAAACCAACATTTCCACAACCATCTCAACCCTTGAATCATGTTTAATGGTAAAAACATTTTTCCGCAATTTATTTGAATCTTTCTTATGATTATTGACAGACTCATCTCTCGCTCTATACGTTGAATGCACGTTCTATGTTATTGCACTTTAAATACCATGATAATCTTTTGGAATGCATAAAATAATCTTTATGAAATCTCGAGATTATGTGAATACCGTTTTATGTAGTGTGTGCAAGGCAAGATGCAGACTAATGATCCATTCCACTCTTAATCCATGTGTATTTATACCAGACTTTTCAAAACTATTACAAAATTCTCTTTTATAGCAGCGATAAGATGTAAACTTTCCTGTTATTCAATTGATTACCACTTCAGATTCGAAATTATCGACGAAAAAAAATTGTGATAAGATATTTAATGTATAAAGGCACATTTAGACTTAACTTTTTTCAATTAGTTCATTTCAAGACTTGAAATAATGAAGGCATTTTTGGTTCTTTTTGGGCTAATTGCCACCGTGCAATTGAGTTTGGCAGTTTTTGGTGAGTTCAAACATGGCGATAAGAACTCAAAATATTTTAAAAAGGAGCCACCATTAAGAGCTACAAAGCCTGTTGCTGCTGTCGATGCAGTTTATGAAGGATGGATTAAACAACGAATGGATAACTTTGATCCTCAAAATACAGAGTCATTTTATATGAGATACTTGTTCAATTTTGAGAATTTTCAACCTGATGGACCAATTTTCATTGTAAGTTGACCAGCACAACGCCCTGATTCTAAGCTGAACGACATTTTATAAAAAATAAATTTCAATCTTTCATCAATTTTACAGTTTGTCGGCGGTGAATGGACAGTTTCACCAGGCATGATCCAATTTGGACACATGTATGACATGGCCCAGGCTTTGAATGGTCTCTTAATCTACACCGAGCACAGATATTATGGAGAAACAAGACCAACTGCAAATTTAACCTTAGATGAACTTCGTTATTTGAACATTGACCAAGCACTTGCTGATCTTGCTCATTTTATTGTCACCATCAAGCAGACTTTCCCTGGTGCTGAAAATTCTGGAGTGATCCTTGTTGGATGTTCATACAGTGGCACAATGGTAACATGGTTCATGCAGAAGTATCCACATTTGATTAAGGGAGCTTGGGCACTTAGTGGTCCATTATTAGCACAAGTTGATTTTGTTGAGTATCAAGAAGTTGTGTCAAGAGCAATACATCAAGTTGGTGGTGAAAACTGCAGCAATACAATTCGTAATGCTTTCGAGCAAATGGAAACTTTAGCAGAGCAAGGAAACGCTACTGAACTTCAAAGACTTTTTAAATTGTGCAAACCATTGGATCTTAATAATGATCTTGATGTTTGGTCATTATTTGGAGATGTTGCCAGTACATGGTCAGGATTGGTTCAATATTATTACAGACATGATCGTGACATTGAAAATGCTTGTGAAGGACTTGAATTACACAAGACAAATACAACAACGGATTTAGAAGCTTACGCACAATGGATAATGAACAGATGGAGGATTAATACATGCTATGATCACACTTATGAGTCTTTCCTCGAAAGTTGGAGTGGAACAAGTTGGGATGACTGGATCGCACAATCAGAATGGAGACAATGGTATTATCAAACATGTGCTGAATATGGCTGGTACCAGTCATCTGGATCTGAAGAAATTCTTTTCGGAAGTAACTTCCCAGTTAATATTTCAGTTCAAATATGCAGTGACCTTTACAATGGATTGTGAGTATTTCATCATGAAAGTGAAATGACCTTGAAAAGTTTATTGAATTTTTCTAATCTAATCTTATCAGCTTCACACCAACAAGCATTCAGGGTAATACCGATAGAACCAACATTATCTATGGCGCTAAAAATCCAAGCGTACGCAATGTTTATTCAACTCATGGAGAACATGATCCTTGGGCACCAATGGGTCTCGATGCTAATGAGAATGAAGACTCGCCGGTTGTTTATTTGCCAGGTATGGATGATTAGTGTCTTAATTTTCATAAAAAAATATTAATATTATTATTAATATTTCAGGTGAATCACACTGCAGTGATCTGGGGTCAATCGGTGTAAGAGATACACCTGAAATGGTAGCTAGTAAGACAAGAATTTTCGAACTAGTCCAAAAATGGCTTGGAATTCCACCAGAACAACAAAAGACATTGCCTCCAGTTGCATAAATTCAATTAATGTTCGAGAAGAAAAGTTATGAAATTATATAAATAATCAAGGGGGAAATAACTTGGTCGGGAAAGATTAGAAATTTTTAATTCAGTTTCTCTCAATTTTCATAGAAAAATGAATAGATTTTCCTTATCCAATTCGAAACTTTTTCAATCAAGTTGTTTTCCCCCTGTAAAAACATTTATCAATCAACCGGATAAATCATTATCAGAAAATAGACCACAGTGTTTTAAAAACATAATAATTATAATTTTCAGTGACTTAATGAACAAGCATCAATTAAAAAACATAAAAGGCATCAAATCTGCATGATTAATTATCCTAAAAAAATGAATTATAGAGCTTTTTACCTTTTCACTCGACTCTAGTGACTGAATTTTTCATACATTATGTAGATCCATACATGAAGCATATTTTCATATCTCTATCTCGTGGGATTCAATGTTATGAAGCTCCGCACTCGGATATCAACGTAAAGGGTATTTTTCATCATTATGTGTGGAAGCTTTTATCATATTTTTATGTTCCACGTTTTATTCGTGCTTTTTTGGTGCTAATCAGGGTTGGTCTCGAGAGATTTGCTGATGAAGAAAACTGGGTTAATGGTAAATGATTATTTATAAGTAAGTTGACTAAGTTATTAGTTGGATAATCAGCCAATGTGTCGATACATAGTGAAAATTGAGTTTTTGAGTCAGTATCACTCGAGTTTGTTCATTAGAAAACATGATTTTCGTATTCTACGGAACAGAATGCAAGCTAAAGTGTTAAACAATATACAGGCAGATCTGCCAGTGAAAGAATGTGATCTCTTTGGCCAAAAGGCTAGAAAACATTTCAGAAATCTGAAAATATCTATGTTATGAAGACATGGGTTCAATTCTCAACAGAAATTGTTTCCTCAGTCATTATGAAAAGTTGCTCGCGAAGGTTTTCTCCTTTAATCCTATCCCCCTCCCCTCATAATTGGTTATTAACCTCAAAAAAAATTATTAAACTTATTTTCCAAGCATTTAATCAAAACCCACAAACAGAAATCATAAAGCATCATTATAATCACCCACGACTAACCTACCTTAGTCACCCACATTCAAATAATTTACTCTGCATTTGACAACTCTGAAGCCATCAACGAAAAAAAAAGCAATTCACCTAATTTATGATTCCATATCAACGCTTTCATTACATTCATACACGTTTACATGAAAGGGTCAGTAATTCAATTTGAAATATGGATTATGCAACTATGCTATTTTTAGGAACTTATGCTAGTAATAAAAAAAAGAATTGTGATTTAGTAAAAACAATGAAGAAAGGAGCATAAAAATAATTTAAGTAAATTAGAATTTATTGTTATATTTTTTTGTTGTTCCACATGTGCTCATAACCTTTAAATCATTCGCAAATGTGAATGAAGTTAAATGAACTGACCTATTCATTTCGCGCAGCATGACTAACATTTTCTCCTATTTCTTCTTCTTTTAACTTCCATTAGACGATTCTCATCCGAAATGAGGCTGCTTTATGCCTTATTCCCCTTTCATTATAACATATGCGCATGTTTACGCATTTTTTTGGTTAAGAAGAAAAATTGTCACATATGAAAATGAATTTCGATGACCTTCACACATATTGTTCCATTGTAAAATATGGTTACATACATAAATATTCGCCTGTGGGCTAATAATAGTAACAAAAAATAATTATGATTTCTGATGAGGTTTGCCCTTTATTTTTGCTCTCGAAAAAAACATAATGAAAGAATCCTTTTGAATAATTAACGTAAAAAGTCATAAAAGTAAATTGTTGGTTTCATGCAACTTGCAAATAGAGTCAAAATGAAAAACTTTTCAAATGGAAAATTTCATACACAACAAAAAAAAATCTCGATGGGATTCTCTTGAGTATGAGAAAAGCTTTCAAGTAGAATTCAAGAGCTTTTTTATGATCAGAAAAAAAAAGTTTTTTATTCAAATTATCATTCCAAGCATTTGAATGGGAAATAAAAAAATTCAACCCTTTTTGCTTGATTTGCAGATATAAATTGAAGAGTTTAAGGTTTTATTTTGTCAATTGGAAATATTTTGAATTGAAATAAGATCAAATTGCGTTTTAAGCAGAAGTTAAGTTTTTAAAAGAAAATCCTTACAAGGGGTCGTTTACTCATGACGTCGGAGATTTAGGGGGCATGGGGGTTTAGTAACAGCTCAAACAAAGGAAATTTGGTTTCATATAGGTTTTGTGACAGAGGGGGGAGATCTAAAAATCATGTTTTTTGGTGGACGTCATAAGTGAATGACCCCCAAGGAATGTCGCATGAATCTGCAGAAGGGTTTTGTCCTAGGTTTGAATCATATAGAACAGTGGTGGCAAACCCTTTTTACACCACGGCACATCACGATGGTAAGCCATGCCCAAAACCGCACGAGGCATATGGTTCGTAGAATTTTTTTCGCGGCACATTGGTTGAACATCACTGACTTACATGACTAGATACCTTGTACCCAGTATAAAAGATACAATACTGTAAATTTCATTTGGAGGGTTGGAACGAAGAAAAGTTAAATTTCATCAGAACTAAAACTGCGCCTATGACACCGATTCCAACAACAAACTCATTCGCACCTTTCATTATCCTGAAAAATAAAAAAAATATTGATGAAAGAATGGGCATACCTCAATGATATGTTAAACGCCTGGTCTTAGGCAACCGTCATTGTCAGCAATTCTCATTTTTTTCTGTTCCCTTATTTTTATGGACATAAAAATTTTGCTATTCACAAAACACACACACATGATTTTCTCAGACAATAAAAAAAGAGAAAATTTTATTCCGTTTTTTTTTATTATTTTCATTTTTATACATTTTTTTCCCTCATTTTCGAGTGATGTACAATGATGATGTATCCATCAAATCATATTCATAATTTATCGCATGTACATGAATGTAATATTCATTTCTAAAAGTGGATGGGAGCAGGAAGCAGTAAACTCAAGTACTTGTATACAAAAATAACAGCATATCCATCCTCATCATTTTCTATTGTTTTATGTACGCTTGTGAAATAAAAATGCGTTGATTCTTAACATGATAATTCAGAATTTTTTATTAAAGAAGGGTGAAAAAATTATAAATGTTGAAAATGTGGTGATATCTTACCCTATTCGTGATGCAGCACTTTAATGTGTTGAGCAATCAAATTAATCTGTTTAAAATGTGAACAATTCAAGTAATCATCTGGTTCAAGGAATGATTGATGTCGTACGGAAGGAAATTTGATGTGAAAATTAGATTTGTCAAGAAGAACATAAATTTTTTATTTGAAAAGAGGGTTCGAACTCTTAAGCAGATTAAATCTATAAATAAGAATGAGAAATTTATTCTTGGCTGCTAAGCATGTTATTTTCGGTCTGTTGTTATGAATTTTTGTTCTTATTCTCCAAAGTCACTTTTCACATTAGAATTTTCGCAAAATAAGACGGTTCGAAATGAAAATAAACAATGCTTATTCTTAGAAATGATGAATGATGTTAGGTCCAATTTAGTTGCTTTTTATAGAAATTCCAAAAAAAGCTATTTTCATGATACCAAAAATATAAACTCATACCTCTAAAAACAGACCCTCAAAAGCTATAAAAAAAAATTTCATTTGTCTCAAATAATTTTTTATTTCTCAAAAACAAAAGCTGCTCATACGCAAGTATAGTCAAAGCTTAATTCCATTGATAAAAAATTACACAATGCTTTTTACAATTTTGATCCTCTTGGTCGCACTCATTCATAAAAAGTTTACGATACAAAGATCAAAAGCTTCATTGTTTCTAAATTTATATGATGAAGATAATTCAATATCATCAGACGTACGTCTTTTGGATATAACTCAACTCACTAAACTATAAAAAAAAATACATCGCAAATTTTCTAAATATAAATTCACGTTCAACATCTTCACGTCAGCTTTCTTATTATAATTTTAGTTTTCCAGATGAGAAGCTTCACAATAATTTTAATTTTAAGTCTGTTTTCTCGGAGAATTTGCTTAATTTGAAAGCAAACTTAAAGTTGGTGGAAATTTTTGTAGTCAAGGGGTGCAGAAGTGCATACTATTTGGGGCTGAATTTTTTTTTCTGGTTTTTGGTTGATCATCTAACCACAAAGTACCCTTTTTAAAAGGCAAAGCTAGTAATGTTGAAGTTTTTAAGGTTTGGAACTCCTAAACTGGAATTTTATATTTGAATTTTAAAACTTTTGACCACTTCTCATGTGTCTGTTTCTTTGGCTATAAATGAACTTTGGCATTAACCAGACTAGCCCTACAAAATCTTTTCAAACATTAAAATCAACAAGCATTCGATGTAGTCATAGTCTTGTTCTGGAACTTCTAAAACTTTTTAACTCTTGCTTTACCCATGGGATAACCTTAATAATTCTCTGCTACATTTGAATTAAAGCCATATTCAGGCTGGTGTCAAAATAAGACTGATAGAATTGAACACAAACTACAATCATTTCAAATTTGAAAAAAGAAAAACGTGGTAATAAAGACATTTAATTTGATTCTCAATCCTAATATATGTCATTTAAGAGAATTTGAATGTAAGTTTAAGTGACTCGGTGGCAGAATGGTTTAGGACTTTCGTACTTAATATTTTCAATACCAACATTTTTATTATAACTTTATTCATTCAAATTAAGCCAGAGTAGCGTCATAGTCGTATTGCATTGTAATTGTTGGGACACTTCATTTCTCATATCGACATACATAGCTACGTATAGTGATCATGGGTTCAAAAATCGGCATGAGAAAAAATAGCATGTCCTATTCCAAGCATATTTACAAGAAATGAGGTTCACAGTCTTCCTTTGTAGGCTTCTAGTAGAAATGTCATAAGAGAAATGGTTCAGAACCAACTTAAAACTGAAGGTCTAACCTTGAGCGAGAGTCTGGTCAACCCTCTCTCTTTAAACTATCAATATATTAAATAAACTACAAAAACAGACAAATAACAACTGATGGTTGAAATCGACGACTCCCTAGACAAAATGAGAATATTTTCCATCAACAATTTCCAATCAAAATCAGCTTGTATCTGCACGAATGAATTCTTTCCCCCTCCTCAATAGAAAACTTTTCAACATCACTTGTTGTTAACTCGATGCATCAACAGTTTTTAAAGAAAACGATTCAGAAAAGAAATTCAGATTACAAACAAGAGTCGAAATACATTTTACAACAAAAAAATAGAGAAAAAGAAGAGAGATAGAAGAACATGAAAAATGCTTGAGCAGCAAGTCGACAGATAAGAAAGCAAGACATTTATAAAATTATAAAGTGCACTCAATAAGTCAAAATGATAGAAAGAGATGAAGAGAATGTAAAATGAAAATGAAAGGGAAACAATTGGATACGCTCAATGAACTTCTTCTGTCTATTTTTGAATTGAGTTTAGAATGATTTACGACACATCTTTTGGCCTTGTTTAAGGAATTTTTCTATTATATCAAACAAAGCATATCATGAACTCCATGCGCTGTTCATCACATCTTTACAGGATGTTATATGTCGAATGTAAATTTAAAACAATTTGTCTTACGGGTGTAATTCAATTGACTTAATCCTTTACTTTATCTTATGATTCCAACATCAAAATTTATATATTGTCAAGTTGTTGAATCTTCTCACATTGTCTTAAGAGACTTCATAATGATTAAATTTTCTTTCAATTATGTCGACTGCACGTTCTACACATACGCAAAAGCATCTAATGAATTAAGAACGTGAGGGTGCTAAATAAACCGTGACTGCCTTAATTATCGCAAAAAAACAATTCCCTTATTTTTTTTCCTTATTCTTGCCTTTATCACACAATGTGCCATCATATAAAAATTGTTTTGAGCTTTTCTCTCTCATCTCATCATCATCAGCATCCAACATCATAGGAATGAAGCGATGCGATGAAAAAAGTTTTCCGTCTTCTTATTCCCATAACATGCCATATATGTGCTTCTTGGCACACTCTTAACAATATCACATGGTAATATGATGAAAGCTCCATGTCGCGTATAAATAATTAAAGATGTCTAATTATAAGAGAGCAGATGTATGTGCTGTGAATTTTAGCCGCTTTCTTCTTGACGCGGCTGTGGAAGATGGGCTTTATGTATGAGTGAGTGTTGAGAGGACTCACTCAGTTCTTATTTACGTGCACCACATACTGGAATTTTTTTGTATGAAAATTTCGTGACAATAGAAAGGGGTTTTTTTTTAAGACGTTGTTTGGAATTTTTGATTTTTTCTATTAGGGGGTCGTCTATTAATGATGTCAGTCTACAATGAATATTCATTAGCTTTTAGATGATAACATTTTTTAATATAGATTCTCAATGAAGTGATATTGATAAGAGTATAGCTAGCAGTGGCAACTGGAAGTCTGGATCCTCATCAGACTACCGACTACGTTTATAGTTGCTTAATAGCAATAAACTATTCATCATTTTAGTGTTTACTTTCTCCTTTTTTCTTAATTATCCCGCCCTTTCCCGCTCTGTTGCTCTATACAACTTTAAATCCACTTAAATAACTTCCATTCAAAACTAAACCTTATTTGTTAATGATCCCCAAAATATTATACTTTAATATAAGATTACAATAAATTCAAAATTTATTCATCTAGGTTTAAAAATGGAATGAAAAAAAAAGATTATCAAAAATAAGCCATATGGGGTAAATGGTTCTGTACTTTTGTGTAATTTATGGCTGGTGAAAAAATATCGGTCATTAAAATTTAAAACGGAGATAATATTTGTTGGAATTGGATGTGTTTTGTATACTCAGTAAATTGGCTAATTTCCTACAAAACTTTAAAAATTATTTACGATCCCCAATTGAGTTGAGATTTATTGTGTGAATTTGTAGGAAATTTTCAAAAAAGTGTTTTTTAATTCCTATTAAAATTACCACTGAATTGATGATAAACTAGTTCCACAAAACTTTATATCAATTTGTGGCTCATTCCATCCAATTTTATATCAAACCATCCAAAATAAATATCACAGAATTTTATGAGCTTCGAATCATTTTTACTAATCGGATCTAAAATCCGTAAAACCATAAAATAATTTTTATGCAAAAATTTTTTCATTACTCAATTCATAAAAATTTTCAACAATCAAGCATGATTAATATCGTTAAAAAAAGTTGTGTCATTGTTATTGTTATTACCATTTACTGTCTGTGAATATAAACAGAAATAAAATGTATATGTAGTAATATTTCATTCGTGTTTGTTATCATAATTGTAATAAATCAAATACAGTCTGTTGAAACTCAATACATGCAAAAAACTGTTTATTTATAGTTTGTTTACTAGTCATAGATCTCGTTGAGTGTGGCGGGACTTATAAGTCATTAACTTTAAAATTTAAGTTGTTTATGAAGGATAAGAAGACTTAAGTGCTAAACTGATAAGATACCACACTGCACAAAGGGTTGATTCATCGCTATATTCTTGAATGCACTGCCTTTTCTAGATGTTTTTCCTATTGTTGATACTAAGGCTATAGTTTAGAAACTAAGAATCGCTTCTGCATATGATCATGAAATCAGTTTACTCGTGGTTCTATGCTGCCATAAAATTTGTCATTAGTCGACCGTCTAGGCCCAGTTCAAGTTAAGAACTAAGCAGTTCAAGTTAAGAACTAATCACTAAACCTAAGACATTTTCTCTAAAGCATTTGTGGACACTAGACATATCGAATTAATATTTTAACCTAGTCAAACCTCTGATGTCCTCCAAGAAAATATCAATGCTTGACTTTTGGGTATTTTGTAATTTCATAAATGTTATTGGACGTTTTTGATTCGGTACTGGAGTCTATCTTTGCAATGTAGATGATGATGTCAATGTCCTGTGTCAATGTTGATTACCCCTATGCATAAATCATCTTATTAATGAAACAGCCTGTTGCAGACTTTATAGACGGCAAGAGATCTAGAGGAAGACGAAAGAACACCTGGATTGGATGTGTTGATAAGGACGCTAGAGTGCTTAATATACCGAACTGGCAGAAGGTTTCGAAGGATAGAGCTGTCTTTAGATGATCTTTGAACCCGACAATTGGCCCACGTTCTAGCCAAGGAAGTAAGTAAGTAATGAAACAGCCCAGGCAAACTATATAACTATAATATAGTCACACAACAAAACAATGACATGCAGATCATCATAAAAGTTTATCAGCACAAAAAATGTTCCGAATAATCGAAATTACAAACAAAAATAAAATAAAAATGTGACTCATACTGATTTAATTTACGCTCAGTATTTAATCAACATTTCATCAGTTCGGAACTGCGAGAACTTTTTTTTATAATTTTCCATATTGTTGAAATTTTTAATTAAAAAAAATTATGAAGTTATTACTTGCTGTTTCACTTTTTATCTCCATTGGTACATTATGCAGTGCCTACATCATCAGCAATTCTCTTGTAAATGGAAATGAAATACAGACAATCTACAGCAGCATTAATGATTTTGAGGAAAAAAATCCGGGCGTTAAAATTATTCCCATGGATACTTACAGCAATCATTTTAATTTATCAAGATCTTACTCCCTTGGCAGTCGACAAACAGGTACGAATTTGTGATTTTTTAATTAAATACAGAATTCTGGCTCATATATTCATATATTCATGATAATGCTTTATTCCACTAGGTGATGCTGTTGTTGCAAACATCAATAAGAATAATAAGTGGCCTGTAGTACAGAATGTAACCACAACCCTTACATATCCATCTAGTGGCGGCAATGGAGCTTTTCTCACTTATGTCTTAATCAACTGTGAGCAATCATCAAATATAGGCCAAGCTTATGTTACATATGGTGGTGTTCATCAACATTTCATACAGATTATTGTGGAAGCTCATGTTACCAGCTTCTTCAACTATGCTGCCTTTTTCTATGGCATCAAGTAGAAATAAAATGCGATTTAAATTATTAATAAAATATGAAAATTTTATGAAGTAATGAAACTTAGTTCTCATTTTCTATCTCTAACTGAATGAAGCCCATGAGATCCAGCAAATGAAAATTGTTTCTCATTTTGATTAAATTTTATTTCTTCATTTACAGCTATTGGATGGATACATTACATGGGATGTAGTTTAAATTTCATTGCTGTACGTTTTATTCAATAATTTTTAATAATTTTATTCACTTTAGCTTAAACTAGCTATGTTGTGGAATATACCAGAAACCAATAGACATCCAAAAACATTTTAAGACCCCTCATTGACAGTCAACATCGGAAATATCCTATTTAACCTATTTCAGCTTCAAAATAACACCTGAATAGCACAAGTAGGTCTAGGTGACTGTAGCGTGATGCTGGATTTGAATCAGAACCAGCATCATACCAGAGGTACATCAGTTTTCTGATCGATTAACCGACTTGTGCTATTCGGGTACCCCCTCCCCCTCATAAAGCACTTCAATCTTCATGTCAATGAAAAATTTATTTCAATTTATTTCTTCTTCTTGCTGCTGCTGTCTTTTTTTCACCACAAAACACACACACGAAAAAAAATAAAATCTTTAAATATTTCATCAGCTAGAAATGAGATCATGTTGTGAATGGAAATTTATATAAGCTTCATATGGAACAAAATACATCATCTGTAATCATCTATGCGTCTAGGTGTATTCGCTATTTCTGAGCCTGTCTTTTCAACTCTCACATATCCACCGCCTTTGTAATTTATCGTTATGAATACTTGAGTAATGTAAATCGTAGTCAATGAATAATAATTGCGGATACGGAAGCTAACATACGGCATCATGATGTAAAGTATAAGCAATTTTCGCAGTCAGATGCTAAATTTTCTTGCTGTATATAATTCTTTTGAGTCCCACATTTCAAGCATAAAGGGAAATGGGGACGAAAGCGAAAGGAAAATTCTACTTAAGTAAAACACAACAACAACAAATCTATGTATGTATATATTTGGTAACACGTATTGCTGTTGAGTCATTAAAAATTCATAATCTTTGTTACAGAGTTTTGATGTAACGAAAAGTGTAGGGTGGATGAGAAATCAAGTGAAATTCTATCAAGTTTTAAGTGGAAGTTTATGTTGTATAGACGAAAAGTTTTAAGCGAAATAATAAAGAATCCATAATCTGCTGTAATATTCCATAACAACGGAATATTTCTCTCAACACATTAAATATGAACAACTTTGTAGTTCTGAACAAGTTTTAAGATTCTTACACCCAGCAGACATTACTTTCAATCATGAAATAGCAAAGCTTTCTGTAAACGAGATTTTCACCTCATTTTCTGTCATTTTAATTTCTAAGAGCAAGCTTCTTAGCAATCTACTAAGTGAAGCAATATTTCAACTCTCATTGCTTTGAAAATAAAGTTTCAAGCAGTTTACATCAACATACATAGTTGCTGTATAGGAAAGACAGAGTTGGTGAGGTTAAGACAAGGGGAAAATAACTTGGTGAAAAAAAGTTTTTAAAAAAACACCTTGAACTGCTAACTTTTTACTTTAATGGTTTAATTCCATTTATATTTCTATAAACATTTTATATAGTTTAAAAAAAACATTATATTTTCATTATAAAAACAAAGATTAAAATTCTTTTATAAACCCCCCCCCCCCCCCCCCCCGAACCCCCGGCTCGTTTCATTGAAGTAAAACTCACCAATTTTCAAGAGTTTTCACTCATTTTTAACTCTCATTTAATGCCCATTGTTCGTTCGTTCGTTCGGGCGAAGAAAAACTTTTTAACCAGACATCGTAGAAAGCTCGAGTTTGTTTTATTAGCTCCGTTATTATCGATTTATTGGCCCATCGAATGGTTAAAATTCTTCAAACCATGTATTCATGCTATAATTAATGATTATTTTATTTCATAAACAAAACCACGTGATGTGTAATTTTTTTCCAAGAGAGCAGCTTAAAAATTTAAATAGCTAAAAACCATTTCCAAAACTCTGGAAATTCAAAATATAAAATTTAATTACATTCAAAGGGAAGAATGGTGAAAACCGAGAGAACAGAAGTAAGTTTCATAGTAGGATAATATGAAAGAATGATTTACTGAGCGAATTTGCATATTCAATGTAACTAGTGTGAATGTAGAAAAGAATTTTAATTTAAAATAATCTACTGAGTAAGCACAAATTTTCATTTAAGGTGTTATAGTTTTTGGGAGTATATTAGCATATGGGAATAAATGTATGTAATTAAAATTTGAGAGTTTCACAGGTGTTCATGCTTAAAATCAACAATAAGTTATTTTTGTTAAGAATTTATTAAATTTTTTCGGGCTGTTTTAGTGAAATTTAAAAGAGGCTTTCTAAACAAAGTTTGCCAAAAATAAACAAGACTTCTGAAGTCATTTTGACCTTATATTTTTCAAAACAAACGTTTTTTTACCCTCAAGTGAATAAAACATTTTTCAAGAAAATTACAATTTTTTCTTTTACTTTCACTTGTCTCCAAAATAAACGTCTGACAGTCTTAAAGCCAACAGAGAGTGAATTATGTCAAAACATTAAATCCATCAATTTTTTTTTTGTGTGAGCAAAGCAAAAAAAAAATGAAATTATTGTCATCATTACTCAACGTTGCGTCAACATGAAAATGATGAAAAAAAAATAATTTATTGTGACAAGGACGAAAGATGAGAGCTGTAATCTCAGAAAATTCAAGAATCAGAATGAATTTAAATGTTTCAAAAAGAACAAAAGCCAATGAACCTCGAAAGCTTTTAAAAAGTTTAAAAATTGCAGTCATGCTTTGAAGATCCTTTGTTGTAAGGAAATCTGTGGTTGTTTAGAGGAAATTGGACCGTCATCTGCATTTGATATGCTTTGAAGCTTAACATTTACATCGGATAAATATTGAATGACTCTTGAAAATTATTTCTGTTTTGAATCTTTTTTTTTCCTCATTTTAAAGCAATAAAAATTAGAATAGAAAATTATTTCCGATCAACGAACTTCGAACTGTCGGATTGAATTGGATTTTCAAGATGCTAAGGTTGGTTACTAAGTGATTAGCTTCAACATTGTCTAACTTTATTTCGAGATGGCCTTATATGCGGACTCAATATCTTCCTACACTTCTTATATGACAACTTACAAAGTATTAGAATGTTTAAATAGTTGTCAGTTTTTAACGAGTCAAACTCAAGGCTAGTTGCTGTAAGAACTTTGGGAATTGTACTTTTTCTAATATTCACATACTTGTGGCTTATACAGGTGTCAATATCTCTAACTCTAGAGATCCTTGTTGTACTCTAGTCTAAACAAGTCACAGTCAATTTTTATCTACACTTTATAGTGTAATTCATCCATCCTAGGTTAACACCACAATCAGCGATAATACCTGACTAGAGTAATAACAGAGTGATGTAGATAGTAAAGCATGCCAAACACGAACCGAGCTTCATAACTAGAACTTTAAAATATATAAAAATCTTCTAAAACTTAACTTGAACTGGGATTGAACCCAGGACCTTTGACATATAAGACTGACGCTCTACTACTTAGGCCACTAATGCCGTTTCACAACTTAAAGAATATTAAACAACTTCAAAAACTGTTTATATAAAATAACCACATAGCAATAAGTCCTTACAAAAAAAGCTACCAGAAAACACAAAAAAATAAGAAGAATCAATTTCAGAAATCAAACCACAAAATTTGTTACTGTAAATATGATAAAAACTTTTTCCATTCAACCGCCAAACCCCTTTGTTCATTTCATTTGTGTAAACAGTAACAACGAAACATATTCATTTACAAAAAAAGCAGTTGGAAATCTCCAATTTCCATCATACACATCCATTTGAACAGAAAAAAGGAGCTCTCAAATAAATAACGATAACAAAGAAGCTATGATGAAAACAAAGAATCAGTACATTGTCCCAATTTTCGACGAAAAAACAAATTACGCTTTGCCTTTTGGTATCAATTTGAGCAAGAATATTTTAAATATGAATAACAGCAGCAGCAACAACAACAACAGTCAACACAATTATTTAGGGTAGGAAATGTGAGGAAAGAGTGAACAGTCTTACTTCCGTCAACAATTTTTTTTTTCTTCTTCTCCATCCTTTTATTCTGCCACATCATGATCCATTTTTCATTTGACAGAATTCTTCTACTAGTTACTTCATCAAAAATGGTACAGTTAATGAAAAATTTTCAGCTTACGACTATGAATTGAGAAGAGAAAAAAATGGGTTTTTCAGTATTATTTTCCTTACACAACTTTTGGCACTCTTTTTTCCACTTATTTCTCTTCATTTCCAATGTAATGCTTTGCTCTTCCTTCATTCACCACAGCTTTTTGTGGGCACAATGCCTTTTTCAATTGAAAGCAGCATCAACAGCAGTAAAAGAGGGGCTTCTGCTGCAGAGAAGATAGGCAGTTGAAGTATTTGGTGAGGATAAAGCGCAGTTTGGTTAAATATGGTCAGTTTTGGTGAGTTTTGTTCAGTTTTGTTCAGTTTTGGTGAGTTGAGATGATTTAAAGTGAGTTTTGATCATTTTCTGGTAAATTTTTATAATTTTTGGCGAGTTGAAATGATTTTTGCTTATTTTTGGTGGGTTTAGTTGAATTTTGGTGAATTTTGATCTGTTTTGGTGAGTTGTGATCATTTTTGGTGTATTTTGTTCAATTTTGGTGAATTTTGATCTGTTTTGGTGAGTTGTGATCATTTTAGTGTATTTTGTTCAATTTTGATGAGTTTTGATCAGTTTTGGTGAGTTTTATTCAGTTTTGTTGACCTTTGGAGAGTTTAGTTGATATTTGATCATTTTTGCATAAGTTTTGTCCAATTTTGAATTGAGTTTTCCTTACAAAGCTTTAAATAAATAATATTAGTTCAAAAGGGATCCAAAACTAACATTTAACAAATAAATCCAGCTATCAAAGCGTAGAGAAGAGAACTTATTCATAATGTTACAACTTTATATTATAAAAATTTCTATTTGAGAGCTTC